GATAGAATGCACAAACTCCTAGTTTGAGAATGGTTTTCATGAATTGTGAGAGTGAAGGCTTGGAGTCAACATAGAAGCTTATGATTAAGTTTCAAAACACAGTGGTGGTAACCTACAATTGGATTATTATTATGGGAAAGAAAATAAATGAAATGACCTGAGAGTTTTATAGAAGGTGAAATTGAGAGAATTTTAATTACTAGATGAAGTTATTCCTTCATCTGTTGATTTACTAGAGGACATATTGTACTTAGTGCTTAAAATGGTTGATTGACGTAGTGAAAAAATGGAATTCCTCAAATTTTCTCACAGTCTTACTGAATATTCTGTTCTCCAAAGACTAAATTGTAAAGTTAACCACTAATACCTTCTATATAAAATAAAATTGGGAAGGAGATAGAAATGGTTAGTTTATTGGTCTTGAGATTCTGGTCGATATCCATGGTTTACTTCTTCAGCATCCAGTTCCACCGTTCCCTTGCCCTCAGTGAGAACCTTAGCTGGTCTGGGTTGTGTATCTGGTGGAGCAACCCAAATCTTTATTCCCAAAGAGTCCAAGTCCTTCGTTGGTGTGCCTTTTTTTCAGTTGTAATTTTCTGTTAACTTTTTCTGTGGAGTATGCGGCTGTTAAGAAGTTCTAGGTTCATCCTCCTTGCCTCAGTTTTACTGCAGTAACCCAATTACCCTTTGGTAATAGAGACCAGTTGCTCCAGGCAATGATGATGAGGTTGCTCCAGGTAGATGAACTCCCTTTTTTCGCCTCTGGTTTAGTGTTATAGGAAGCCCAAAATGGCCAGGTGGCAATCTCATCTTACATTTTGATGACTATAATTGTGCCCTCTCCGGGAATCATTCTACATTAGAGACTAAGCTTTCCAAACCTGCAGCACTCTAACTTGCTAGGATTGGAAGCAAAAATTCTGTCAAGGAGCCATTCTCACATTTACCCGTCAATTCCTGGACCCATGTATTCTGGCTGTGGGGAGACAGTACCATGTCAGGCTGTCTGATTAAAATCATATACTGTATCCTGTGAGACAGAATATCATTCTTTCATAGGATTGTTTCCCAATTGGCTCTTGAATTGGGATTTTCACTAAGCAATTTTACCTTTCATTTATATCAGCTCCTTTTGAGTGATGAGGATATGTGATAAGACCAGACCAGTTTATTTCATGAACATGCTCCCATTGTTGCACTTTGTAATGAAATGTGTTTCTTGATTAGAAACATGATGTGTGAATGCCATGACTGTAGGTAAAGCATTTTGCAAGTCCATGGATGGTGGTATAAGCAGAAACCGTCCTCGCAGAAAGACAAATCCATATGCAGAACATGAATCTGTTCCACTTCTGTGATTGAGGAGATCCACTGTAATCACCCTGCCACCAAGTGGCTGACTGGTCCACTCCAGAGAACGGTATCATATTGGACACTCAGTGTTCATTTCTGCTTTTAGCGCATTAGGCAGCAGTAGTGTTAGCTGGGTCATACTTGGAAAGGGGAAGTCCATACTGTTGAATCCATGCATAGGCTTTATGCCTACTACCGTTTCGTTCATGGGCCCGTTGAGCAAGTGCTAGAGTGGCTAGGGAAAGTAACTGAACACCTACATACTGTTTCATTTTGTCCACCTGATTATTGATAGTCTTATTTACAGTGGATTGCCGTTGGTGGACATTCACATGGGGCCCAAATAACTTCACAGTCTGTGTCCATTCAGAGATGTCCATTCATATACCTTTTCCCACACTTCCTTGTCATCAACCTTCCAATCTTGTTCCATCCACATCTTTCTTTGACTGTGTAGCCAAACGATTGTCAACTATTTATGAATCAATATGTATCCATACATATGGCCGTTTCTCATTGCAGACCCAGTGGATAGCTAAATATACTGTTGAAGTTCTGCCACTGGGAAGATTTTTAATTACTACTATCCTTCAGGGTCATCCTTTCAGTAAGGATCTAGAGCTTCAACTCTACACCTCCAGGTGTTTCTAGCTTACTATGCAGACTCATCTGTAAACCAGATTTTTGTCTCAGTCAGCTGGACATAAGGACTACCATGGAAAGGTATAGACATGGACTGAGGGAGAGGAGGTAGTGCAACTGCAATTGGTGTTGAAAAGAGCCTTGGCAACCTACCATACAGTTCACTTGTGCTCACTGTAATTGCCTGAGCTTGATCTCTTAGGAGCTCATAGGAGCTTATATGTTCCCTGGTTTCTTCTGGTACATATTTGCACAGTTGCGTTTATTTTGTATGTAAGCTATTATCTCCTCCCTTATGTTTTATACCTGTTCTCTTGGATTTTGCACAAGTTGTGAGTCTAGAGGCAACAGCAGGTGATTGTGGTGGGTCATGAGAATGAGCATTATAAGGCATCTGCTCCAAGTGAGATTATCACAGAGTTGTCAAGCAGAGGAAGGCTAGTCTCCTCAAAAACCAAAGGACAAGCTACTTACTTCATGGTAAGGGAGGGTCAGAGTGTCTTGGGTGTTGATGATTGTGAGTTTCATCTGGGTCCAACTAGATGTCCCCATTTCAAGTTTCCTCTTATCGTTTTTCCCTGATCAATGCCCTCAATTTCACATTAACTATTAAGGAGATGGAATTTAACTATGGTCGAACAGTTAAATTTTACATTTGATTTCCAGTAATATCTTGCCCCTGTGACCACAAGAAGTGAGTTTTTGAGAGCTGTCATGGAATCTCTCTGGTCCCAGACTTTGACTTGAGCTCCAAGATAGCAGATGTGAGCTTACCGTTTTCTGGGCAACTACACTCAAAATAATCCATCCATCTAAGGTGATAAATATGTTCTGTATCTTGTGACTGGTGATCACGCAAGTATATGCAGTTGTCAAAACTCATCCATTAAATACTTGAAAACTCTGAATTTGTACATTAATTATATCTCAACTACAAAATAAACGCAAATTTAAACATTCTATGCAGACACCATCTGACTGAACACATTTGTGGGCCTGTTCAGCCCAAGGACTCCTAGTTTTGAGATCCCTGGTAGTAAGTACAATTATATTGTAAGTCTAGACACACAGTTTTTGTGACCATATGTGTCTCTGAAGTGTAGAATAAGGACTGTGGGGTTGTGAGGGTGATATTGGTTCATAGATAATGAACTGTGGGACTTTCATTGTCATCGTTCAAATACCATTTTGTAGATCAGCATTTGGCCTGTTGGTCTGTGTTGGGTTTATTGAAGGTTGTTGATTTTTAATAAAAGAAAGTTACCTTTTAAATACAGAATTTTAAAAGACAGAGAAACATGAAGGAAGTCTATGGATGAAATGAATAAAGATAAAAGCAGATTTGGTGGAAATGGAACTCTGATATATAATATGAAAAGGTGGTCATCTGAAAAGATTCATAAAATAGACAAATTTTGGGCAAAGTATGATATGGCATTGCCCCTTTCCCAAGGCAAGGGGAGAGTGCAGACCTGTTTGATTTGTTTCCAGCCAAGATCTGTGGAGGCTTTCCAGTACTTTAATGTATTCTGAGTTCTTTTGTAAAAACTTTGACATACTTTTTCAAATCTTTTTGAGTCAAATATGGAAGAACCCATGATTATTTCCCTTTTCTACCATTATCTTGTCCAAGAATCAACAGAATATCTGCGTGTCTGTGTGTGTCAGTCAGGGACACAATTTATTTTCTCATTTGATTATTTTCCTATATCAGTTGTGAATTGGTATATCAGTTATTATTGTCTATATTCTCCAATAGGAATGTTGGATCTTTACTGCCTAGAATGTTTTCTGTATACGGTGGTGCTCTCAACTGAGTGCCTAGCACAGGGACATAACCTCTTCATTATTTGCTGAAAGAATAAAGGAATAAGCCAGTAATAAGAACTTAAAAGGTGGCCCAGAGCTTCAAGCTGCTCCAAACATCTGTCAAGGGAAGCTCAAGGGTGTTGACTGAATAAAATATTTTGTTTTCTTCCCCTCATATGCCTAGCAGCAGTCTACACCAGTGCTGTTCAATATAAATATAATGTGTAGATCATGTATATAATAAAATTTTTTTCAGTACCCACAATTAAAAAAAATGAAAAAAGTAAGATTATTTCTAAGAATGTATTTTATTTTACCCCTTATATACTAAAATATCAGTATATTATGCATGAAATCAATATTTAAGCATGAAATCAGTATTTAAATATTAAGATATTTTACATTATTTTCTTTATTCAAAGTGTTCAAAATTCACTGTGCACAGGTTTTTTTATCATACATACTTGATTTGTATTTATATTATACAAAATTTACAGTTGAAATAGTAGATTCTAATATTCATGTTGTTCAAAATATAAAAGTGAGCTGTAAGCTGCCAGTGAGACATCTGGTAGATAATGGTCCTCAGTAAATGGCAATTGATGTTACTGATACTCTTGTTATATATACAGCATACTGTTTTAGTAGCTTTCAGCTATGTCATCTGGATGGAAAGAGCTAATTTATCATGTTGGATGACTGATAATTAATATTCATTGATTAATGATTGATATGAAGCAGGACTCCAGATAACCCAATCTCCAGAGGGATGGAGATGGCCTTATGCACTTATATTCATAAGCTTCCCTAAAGTAATCTTGGTTCAAGGAAAGGAGTGTTCAGGCAAATTTCACCATCAGTCTTACAGGAGGGTGGCCTATGATTTTTCCCATGGTAGGTCATGTTTAATATACTTTTTCAGAGGCTGCTTTAGGTTCTCTCTGCACAGTATAGAGTCCTTTGGTCTGGGCCTGAGCAGTCATGCTGCTGGTTCATCTAGGAGGAGCTGAAGTGGGCCAGAGTGCTGTTCTCTAAGTAAGCTTCTTGGTATGCATGTATTAGGTAGAGTTGCTGCATAATCTCATTCATGAATTTTACTGCCTTGACAAATGAAAAGTCACATTACTCAGGGCTGTGAGTAATTCCATTCCACTTACCTGTGAAATGAAGCTATTATTCTTTTCCTGATGGGCAGCATGGCTCACAATCCCCTTTTTTGGATCCAGGTGAGACAGGACTACTCTTGTCATTTGATGGCAGTTGTGTGGATTTTCTTGAGTGTACAGGGATATTTGGGAATTTCAAGCTAGAAAGGAATGATTTCTAGGCATTTGAATGTGGGAATTATCATTATCTCTGGGTCCTCATGCCTCCTTTTCCGCTAGGCCTTCTTTCTAAGGACCAGTTCTGCCATTCTCAGGGCAAGATAGAGGCAGAAAGGATGGTGACTGACTGTTTGACAAATTGTTGTCAGATGAGAATAAAGTGTTTTCTACAAAATGACGTACTGCAGCCACCAGCCAGACACATTTCCTTCTAGGTAGACCTTCTCCAGAACTTCTTAAAGAAATAAAGCCACTAAGGACGGAGCTCCTGTTGAATTTCCTCACAAAGTAGTGCCTCCTGTTGGTAGTGGATTATCCTGAATAATCTGCGTATTTCAATTCTTACCATCAACTGTTGACTCTGATGAGGGTGGCTGCGTAATTTTTATATTGTTTGGTGTGGTGACAGATGGTAAGGAAGATGAGAGAGTGCATTTCTCCAAAGAATTTATTTATTCATCAGCATTTACAAGTGTCTGCAATTTTCTCAGGAGTGTCCTGCAAGAGGGCAATAAGATAAGAATAAGATAAGAAGAGTTTTTAGTCTAGTTGTGGTGAGATAAGTTCATGTGTTACAGGTTACATTAAAGGTGTATTGGCGTTGGCCCAGTGCCATAGTGGTTAAGTTCGTGTGCTCCACTTTGGTGGCCCAGGCTTTGCGGGTTCAAGTCTCAGGCATAGACCTGCGCACCACTCATCAAGCCATGTCCCGTATGCAAAATAGAGAAAGATTGGCATGGATATTAGCTCAGAGACAGTCTTCCTCAAGCAAAAAGAGGAAGATTGGCAGCAGATGTTAGCTAAGGGCCAATCTTCCTCACCAAAAAAAAAAAAGATATAACTGAAGGATATCAATGGTGAGTATAGATAGAGAGAAGAGAACTTAGGACCATTGCACCCTGGGGGAGTTGATGAGAGACCTTGGAACCTTCTATTGCCATTGGGTCTCTCATCTTCATTCCCCAGTGAACATTGGTGGAGATGTTACTTTACTGAAGCCAGCTTTGTGTGATGGTTTAGGATTCAGTGACTTTTGATGATGTGGCTGTGGACTTCACCCAGGAGGAGTGGACTTTACTGGACCCAACTCAGAGAAACCTATACAAAGATGTGATGCTGGAGAACTACAAGAATCTGTCCACAGTAGGTAAGGCTGCCATCATTGCTATACCCTCTTATAGAACAGGTAAATATTATGTACTTACTATATTCCTGGATGGGTGATGTCAAATCTGAATACAGTGGGAAATAAGAGACACATAGTCTTTGCACTAATGGATTTCAATTCAGCATAGTTGCTATAAAAATGTAGTTCTAGGACTAACAGCATTACTGTCACTCTGTTAGGAATGTGCATTCTCGGTTTCCACTTTGGCACTGGGGCCCAGTCATCTGTGTTTTAAAAAACACTGGACACTATTCTGATGGACATCAAAGTTTGACAACCACTGGTATAGCAGTTTCTCCATGAGAATGAAAATCTCCTTTTGTACTTTTTCAGTGGAAGTCTTAATGTTTTGTAAGTGTAGGTGTATACATTTGAGTGTGATTTTAGAGACCAGAGATAAAAATCCTGTTTGGTGCACAGAAAAGAGATTTTTGCATTTTTATCTCATTTGAAATGATTTTGACAATATTCATCAGAAATATAGGACCCGATTCATCAAAGTGTGTATCATCTTTTATAGGAGCCTTGTCCGTTAATATATTTTTCCTTATGGACAGGGTGTCAATTCTTCAAACCCAATCTGATCTCTTGGTTGAAAGAAGAAGAGTTGAGGACAGTGGAAAAAGGAGTCTTCAAAGGTCAGTGATTGTGAAGAACTTTTCTGGTCAATTAGAAATTTCACTATGTTTGGAATTATAATGAGGAGACATTTTAAGATGTGCTTTCTCTCAGAAAGCTGAGGTCATTGGTCTTGGATTCTTTGAGATGTCTTATCGTGAATTCACATACATTTTTACTGTACATTTACTCAAAATTTCCTGTGATCTCACAAATTGACCTGTTTTGTTTTTTTTTTTAAGTTTATTTTGATATATTCTCTTTGTCCGGAGCCTGCTTACTTTCCTTCCCTGATAATATTCTGTCTCTTTTTCCATCATATTTGATTTTCATAGAATCGTTTTTTAATCAATGGCTCAATTTTGACTCCACATCCTTACATTGTTAAATTGTTGATCTACACAAACTACTCAAATCTGTCATACTTTTTCTCTTTTTACCATATCTACTTTCTAAATAATACAAATGAGCCTATTGCTTTTTTTTTTTTTTCTGTGAGGAAGATTAACCCTGAGCTAACATCCATTGCCAATCCTCCTCTTTTTGCTGAGGAAGACTGGCCTTGGGCTAACATCTGTGCCCATCTTCCTGCACTTTATGTGGGACACCACCACAGCATAGCTTGACAAGTGGTGCATCGGTGTGTGCCTGGGATCCAAATGCCAGGCTGCCGCAGCGGAGCATACACACTTAACCACTATGCCACCAGTGTGGCCCCATGAGCCTGTTGTTTTTAATGCCTTTAACCTACCATTTCTTGCGAATTTTACATTTGTTATTCTCTTTTACTTTAGAATGGGAAATGCGACTTAAAACTAAAGACTGAACACTTCCTCTACAGGATATTTTAGGAGAAGGAATATTCAATAGGATTGAAACGGTAAGATCAGTAAGTTTGAAAAGAGATGTTTCTTATTTTCCACATTTAGGAAAGATTAGGAATTTCATTTGATAGAAGATCAGCACAAGTGATAGATATTTGAGATAAGTGGCATTCATCCAAGAGAGAGCATTATCTCTGGTGAGATATTGTGAATATGATGAATTTGGGGAAAACCTAACTTCAAACTTACTGCTTTACAATTCGCAGAGGTACTAATTCCCACGTATGTAACTAGACATGGGGTTTTTAAAACAATTCCTTGAAACTGTACAGTAATCTGTTAAGATCAGAGTAGATCACACATCATCTGGGCAGAAGGATTCCATCATTCAACTTGAAAGAAATCAACAGGATAGGAAGTTGTATGACTCTAATGGAAATGGTAAAAAGCAAATCAGCATGGTAATGATGTTTCTATTTTGAGATGGGTAAAATCAGTTAATGATTCCGAGAGTTCTTTATCTTCATTCATCAACAGGAAAGAAGCCACTTTGGATGGGAACTGAGTGAGTGTAATGAATGTGGAAAAGACTTCAGTGAACAATCATGCCTTAAGACACACGGGAGAACTCAAAATGGAGGAAACAGTTATGAGGATAATCAGTGTGGGGAAAGCTTCCTTACTCTGCACAGGAAGTCCTCTACTAGAGAGAAACTTGGTGTGTTTAATCAGTGGGGAAATGCTGTCCACTTGACTCCAAATATTGTGTCCTGGAAAACTAGCATGCGAGAGAAAGCCTTCGAATGCAGTGACAGTGGGAAAGCCCTTGTTAATCAGTCTTACTTTCAGGCACCAATGAGAAGTCACAATAGAGAAAAACTCTATGAATGGAAGGACTGTGGGACAGCTTTTATTCACTCCACAAGCCTTTGTGGACATGTACAAATTCAAACTGCTAAGAAACATTACAAATGTAAGGAGTGTGGGAAAAATTTTCGATGTTCTACATACTTTAAAGTTCACATGGGAATCCACACTGGAGAGAAGCGCTATAAGTGTAAAGAAAGTAGGACAGCCTTAATTAGTTCTTCTTACCTTGCTAAACATATAAAATCTCATACTGGAGAGAGACCCTTCATATGTAAGAAGTGCGGAAAGTCCTTTAGAAGTTCCTCCTACTTTAATATCCACATTCAAATTCATGCTGGAGTAAAACCCTATAAATGTAAGGAATGTGGTAAAGCCTACACTGTGTACTCAAGCCTTGCTAAACATATAAAAACACATACTGGAAAGAAGCCTTTTGAGTGTACTGTGTGTGGAAAAGCATTTGTGAATTCTTCGTGCTTTATCATTCAGTTTCGTACTCACACTGGAGAGAAACCCTATGGATGTGAAGAATGCGAGAAAGCTTTCACTGTTTCCTCAAGCTTAGCTAGACATGTAAGAATTCACACTGGAGAGAAATCCTATAAATGTAAGAAATGTGGGAAAGCCTTCACTTGTAACTCAAATCCAAGTCAACATGTAAGAATTCATACTGGAGAGAAACCCTATAAATGCAGCAAATGTGGGAAAGCCTTCATTAGACATTCAGATTTGACTAGGCATAAACGTATTCACACTAGAGAGAAACCCTATGAATGTAATGAATGTGGGAAAGCCTTCATTAGGCATTCAGACTTAACAAACAAATTCACACTGGAGAGAAACCCTATGAATGCAATGAATGTGGGAAATCCTTCATGAAGCTTTCAGACTTAACAAAACATAAACGAATTCACACTGGAGAGAAACCTTATGAATGTATGGAATGTGGGAAAGCCTTCAGTGATTCCTCGAGCCTAACTGGACATGTGAGAATTCACACTGGAGAGAAACCCCATAAATGTAAGCAGTGTGGGAAAGCTTACCCTTTCTCGACAAGTCTAAGGGGACATGAAACCTTTGAATGCGGTGAATGTGGGAAATTCTTTACTAATTCCACATATCTCAGGACACATTTGAGAATTCACACTGGAGTGAAGCCATTTGAATGTAAGATACGTGGAAAAGCACATTATATTCCTCAGCATTTTGCATCCATATGTGAACCCACACTGGAGAGAAACCCTACGAATGTAAGCACTGTGGGAAAGCCCTTACTATTTCCTCAAGACCAACTGAACATGTAAGAATTTACACTGGAGAGAAACCCTATCAATGTAAGGGATGTGGGAAAGACTTCATTTGGTCCTCAGTCAGTATAACGTGTATGAACTCACAATGGAGAGAAGCCCTATGAATGTGAAGAATGTGGAAAAGCCTACAAGTGTCCATATTTGCTTCAAATACGTGAAAGAACTAACATTAGTTATATGCCACAGGAATTTAGGTGATGTGGGAAACCAAACGGAATGTACTACAACCCTGCATGTAAGAATTCACACTGAAACCATTAAATGTAAGAAATATGCAGAGCTCTAGCTTATAGGGTGGTTCTGTAGATGTATTTTGAACATGTGCCATTCTGCTCTGGTAATTTTTGGGAATGGTATGGCTTTCATTCCCAATAGCAATGCTAAGCTGGTGTAGTTTCTATGCATTCCAGATTGCAGGCTGACCAAAAGTGGGCCTACCAGATTTACAGTTTCATGGATCCCCTTCTTGTTACTGACCAGGTCTAAGATCATGAAGATAGTGACCACTTGTATCAGTTCACTACTCACAGAATCCATCTACAGTGCCTCATGCCAGCAAAGGTGGGGAATCTAATGTCTCTGTAAATTATCTAAAAATGTTTTTGTCCCTTTCTCACACCTGATCCTTTTCAGCAAAAGTCAGGGTGCAGGCAAGAGAAGAGTTTAGAAAAAGTGAGGTTTTACCTACTATTGGGACTCACTGTGATTTCATGACTTGTGTGGGAGGCCAACCACCTTAGTACCTGGGGAGGACCTTTAAACTTAGGCTGTGCAGGAAGAAGGTGAGAAAAATGAATGTTCTCTTTCACCCCTGTATCCAGCACCACAGCCTTGCATAACAATCATGTCATCTTTCCAACCCAAGCCACAGCTCCCACTGGTGATATGACCTGCTTCTGTGTGTGTTATTCTGTCTGTGTGCTGTGAAAATGGAGAAACTCATGCAAATATGGCTGGTCCTGATAATATGCTGTGCTTGATGCCATCACTGGCAGTTCCTGATTGTGAACTTTGAATGCAGACCCAGACAGGGACAACCTCACTGCAGCATCAGTGATACAAATTCGTATAGTTCTGATGCTTGAGCAACCTTGGGTTATATCATGTATGGCCATCAAGGCTGCAGCTGCTTGCTGACACTTTCTTGAGGCTTAATCAAAACATTGTAATTGTAGTCCAAGTCAAGCTTAACAAGTCCTGAAAGGAAATACTTGTGCACCTTCATCTCTCTTGCTGTCACTCTTCTTATTGCTTATGTGAAGAATACAAGACCCTGACCACTCTTCCCCTTGGCCATTTCTTACAAGTGTGTTTGCAGTGAGGAACCATGAGAGATGAGACCATCTATCCCATTGAGACAAAGAGCAGGTTTGCTTACTACTTGAAATAAACTAGGTTCCACAACCTCAGCATTCCTCTTCTATAACACAACCCAGTGTGCAGACATCCACATGAGCCCTTTGTGTCACCTCTGAGAGACTGGGGGACAAAGGTAACCAGTATAAACTTGGTGATGCTCATGCTGCTGGCTATACCATGAGTTAATTAAATAGTTTGTCTCTGGCTTCAGTGTCTCAGCCAGCATTCATGAAATAGTGACAAGATAATACATTGGAAGAAGGGGATAATCAAACTACAGGTCCAACAGTTTTGTTGATGAGAATGGCATGTTGATAGAGATATGGCTTTCTGGAAGAGGAGGAACAGTGGTGGCCAGGCTGGGTGTGAAGACATACATGTATCTGCAACCCAGACATGAAATGTCTTTCCCCTCAGGTTTCCTCATGATATGAGTAAGAGTGGGCGATAAGGATCCCTGCTTTCCCACTTATTAATGAAGCTCATGAGTAAGTACATCAATAGTTAGGTCGGCGTGGTTTTCCTTAATTTGTTAATCTTACTGGACCGTTAATTTTTAAATGTCTCCTTTTGTACATACTTAATGTGGAATTTTAAAATATCTAAGTATTTGAAATACAGTCTTTTAAAATCTTTTTTTTTTGACTTGGAACTTTTAATCCATAATGTAATAACTAATAAATTTGGATTCATGTGTAAAGCATCTCATTTTTTTCAGTATATAACTCATTTTGCTTTTCTCTCTGCTCTTATGTTTTTTTTCAGGTAAATGATTTCACTGTTGATGATTGTGATTTATATAATCCACTAATTTTATATTAGTTGCTGCCCTAAAATTCTTTAACATATTTTGTTTGACTCTTAAGACTGTTTCTCTCCTACAAAGTATACTGGGACTTAAGAATACAGTAATGCCCATTATTCAGCTTCTGAGCAGCACACTGACAGAGAGACCTAGAAATAAGTCCACAGTCAGAGGAGCCACTAAACTGGTCCAGGTGGCAAGACGAACAGGTCCCCTGAGAAGTGGGACAGCCTTCGCTTCTTGGGAGAGGGTATGTGTGACAGGGATGTTGATACCCTTATGGAGAAGTGCTTGATATCATCAAACACTGAACTGAAAGTACTGTCTTAGGATAAAAGTTGGTCACCTCTTTAAGGGGACACACCAGTGGAGATTGCATGATTGCCTTGCTGTGGACAAAACTCAGTAATGATGATGGAGACAGGTGTGATTGTTCTCCAGCTTTGCCTGGATCATGCAGGCTTCACATTAGCCTTTTCTATCCCAGAAGACTTTGGTCCTGATGGTCTCCCTCAGCCCCCAGTGGTGCCTTCCATTGGGTTTCCCATTGGCATTGCTCACTGGTCTTTTGGGGACCACTGCAGTGACTGCAGGTCTGGCCTTTTCTTCACTCATAGCCCAGGCTTGCCTTCCAACTTTTCTTTGTCCTTGACTCCTCTGTAACTTGTCACATAAACCGTGTCCTGTGGGTCTGTAGGGAGAGGGACATTACAAAAGGAATTATTGCCACAGAGCAGTGTGTCTTTCCATGGGATATAACAGCAGAAAGGCATCCTTTTAGTACAAGAGCCTCGAGATGAGGCCAACTTATTCCTTAGAAGTGAGTAATAGAGCGTGGTCAGCTTGCATTTGTGTTGAATTAGAGAAGGGAAGGAGATCTTTCATTTCACTCTTCTGAGCTTCTGAACCAGTTAACTTCTGACCCATTGGAACATACCACCTTTCACCATTACCCCTTAAGGGAAAATGGAACTGCTTTCATCACTGGAATCAATTTCATCATTCTTTCCTCGAAGTAATGGAAAAGGTAAGGGGACAGGGTGGGGCTTTACTTCTGCGTCGATAGAGTGTCTTGCCTCTAGAGCAAAGCCCAGAGTACTTGGTCTATAAACATGTTTAGACACCCATTCCTTTGACCAGTTTGGGGCTGGTTTCATCCCATGGTGTCTCTTGGGGCATCAGATTCCTGCTGTACTCTGAAGAGCCATTTGACCCCTCCCTAGACCATGCAAATTGAAAGTGAAATGTCTCCAGTGGTGGCTCCCAGAAGTACTGGGCTACCCTCAGCTGGGTAGATAAAACACTGTATTGTGTGGGTTTCTTCCTTGAAGCACTCTCACTGGCTGATTTGTATCAAAGCCCACCTTCCCTTGGCAACCATTGGCCTTAGGTGATGTCTGCAGCTCTCCCTGTATGAGCCACCTGCCAGAGCCTGCCTGGTAAATAACAGGACATTCCTGTCTTTGAGTGGCTGTGGCAGCTGTACTCATCACGCTATTAACCTCCCTATGTGCCAGGAACCTACGGGAGTGATGCAATATGTGGACATTTAAAAGTACTGTTTTGTGTTAGGTGTATTATTCTGTAAAAGGCTGGCAGAGCAGTGCGGTTTTTACATCTCATTTTTTAACATATTACATTCCTCAATTCAGGATCTGAGTTTAGTAGTAATTTTAAAAATTATTGTTTAAAATCTGACTTTTTATTTGCAAGTTGATTTATAATGTGTTTTGAATATACGTGACTCAGATGTGTAAGTTTAATATTACTAATTAAATCTCAAGCACTTTAACATCCTTCTCTTTATGGGTGGGTATTTCATTGAACTAGGTCTCTGTGAGAGGCACTTGCAGCCAAGCTGGTTTTGAATTTCTTTTCCCTCAGATCTGTGATTTTGAGAGGCTCCACTAAATTATACTAATAACAATCCTTTCACAATTTTTTATTGTGATAACGTATATATCACATAAAATTTATTCATTTAACCTTATTAAATGTGCAGTTCAGTGGCATTAAATACACTCACATTTAACCATCACCATCATCCATCTCCAGAACTTTTTCATCATCCCAAATTGATAGTACTTATTAAACACTAAGTCACCATAGCCCCTTCCTCCAGTCGCTAGCAACCCCTATTCTACTTTCTGTCCCTGTATCTGTGAAGTAGACTCCTCTAGTTACCCTGTATAAGTGGAATCACACTATTTGGCTTTTATATCTGGCTGATTTCACATAGCAGAATGCCTTCAAGGTTCATCCATGTTTTAGCATGTGACAGAATTTTATTCTTTTTAAGGCTGAATAATATTCCATTGTATGTATACCCATTTTGTGTATCGATTTGTCCATCGATGGACACTTGCGTGACTTCCATCTGTTAGCTACTGTGAATAAAGCTGCTTGTGAATATGAGTGTGCATATATCTTTTAGAAGTTCCTGCATTTTGTTCTTTTGAGTGAAACGCACAGGAGAAATTGCTGAGTATTATGGTAATTCTATATTTATCCATTCACTTTCAAATTTTAGTATATCTGGGCAGGTGAGTTATTTATAGAGATTTTGAGAAGATGCACAAAATAGGGAGATTTTGATACATAGAAAATCCGTAGTTTGGGTATCAAGATGTAGCAGTAGCAACTATAGCACCAGAGCACTTTATGTTTTTTGTTTTCCTTTGCTTCTAGATGGATATTTAATTTATCCCCTGGAGGATTGTGTATTACAGCAAGAAACCTAATATCCAGTTATTTTGCTGTAACTAGGTATCCACTAACAATCTTGAGGAGGATCTCAGTTGTCTGTCAAGAATCACTGGGTGCCAGTGACCAAGGGTCAATGTCAGATCTAAAGGGACATTGGCAACCAAAAGACACAAGGTTGCTCATGATAAGCAGAAAGTCCCCTAAGGAAAGCAGATCGTAATGTCAGACAATATAGACCAAGTCAAAAAGTATTTCTAGAGATAGAGTTAACTCAGAAAAAAGACAAATTCTTCGAAATATGTTAAAATATGAATCCACCTGATAATATTGTTACAAAATATGTAAAGCAATGCTTGACAGAAGTATAAGGAGAAATAGACTCTTAAGTCCAAAATTCTAGTGGCAGATTTAAACATCTTTCTCCCATCTTGTTTCTCTAAACAGTAGAGAAAAATCAGTTAAAATGTAGATTTGAAAGTGATGAACAAACTGCCTAATATATGTATACAGAATACTGTACCTAGTACCTGTTGAAATCAAAGTGCTTGTCTGCAGAAGAGGTAGAGGGAATGGACTAGAAGGGGCAAGAAGGCTTTTGAGGAAGATGAATGTGTTCTATATTTTGTTTAGGCTGGTGACTACACAAGTATGTGCAATTTTAAAATCATTTACTGAATACTTAAGGTCTGCGTATTTGATTGTATATTAATTGTATTATAATTAAAGACAATTCTGTGCAATCACCACTAAACTAAACACATTTGTGGGTCTCATCAACAGAAAGTCCCCCACTTTGAGAACTGTAGTATTAAATAAAATTTCAACTAGGAAATAGCTGGGTTTTTCCTGTGACTGTATGTGACTTCAGGGTAACAGAAAGACACTGGTAAACAAAAGACACATAATGCTGCCCATGACATGTGAAAATTCTAGTAGAAAGCAGATCCTGATGTCAGACAACATAGCATTATGTAAAGAGTTTCAGGCTTCTGAATCATGGGGTTGTTGTGAGGGTGGATTTGGTTTATGGATAATGAACTGTGAAACTTACTGTTCAGGCTACTCTTCTGTTTTTGATTATTAATGAGTGCAATTTATTTAAGAGAAAAAGAATTGACTTTGAAATCTTAAGTTTAAAAGATCTCAAATAAATGAACATGAAGGAAATCTGAGGAATAAATGAATATAAATCAAAGCAAAACAAAAGAACTGATCAACAATATGCAAAGGTGGTTCTTTGAGAAGATGCATATCTGAGGAGACCCATAAAATGCACAGATGTTGGCAAAAGTCTGATTTGGCATTTCCGCTCTGCAAAGAAGAGGGGGGAGAGAGCAGACCTGTTTCATTTGAGTGTTCCCAACCAAGAGTCTTGAAGTTGCCCAGTACTTGAAATGTATTCTGAGTTTGTTTTTTTTTTTGTCAAAAGGTTGACATTGTTTTTGTGTTCAAGATTGAATAGCCAGTTTCTCTTTTCTGCCATTATCTTCCCCAGAATATTTGTGCCTGTGTGTGTGTGTGTGTAGAACACACCTTATTTTACTACCTGCCTGATTTTTCTCATATTAAATATGCTTTTGGTCTGATATATTAATCATTGGTTTATTGTCTACCTACTTCCATAGGAACGTTGGATCTTCAAGCAGTTGGATGTTTTCTGTATACATTATTTATCTCTTCTCACTTCCTAGCACAGGGACAGAACTTAATTATTTGCTGAAAGAGTAAAGGAAAAAGCCAGAGATAAGAACTTTAAAGAAGTTACAAGACTCCAGACTGCTTCAAGGGAAAATCCCCTGTATCAGCTGAATACAATATTTCATTTTTCATCTCTTCATAATGCCCAGCAGCAGTTTAGAAACATAATGTATCATATAGAGTTTAAGATTTTTCAGTAACCACAATAAGCGAAAAAAGAACTGAGATCAATTTTAATAATAAATTTTATTTAGTGCGGCATATTTAAAATATTTCAACATTGTAAGCAATATAAAAATTTAGATATTTAAATCCCTTATACCAAGTCTTCAAAATTCACTGGATACTGTATTTTCATCAGATGTAATTGATTTGTGTTTATATCTCAAAGAATTAGAATTGAAAAGTTAGATTCCAATATCCAAATATTTGTAGTAGCTATGTACCTAAGAGTGAGAGGCCTGGAGCTCCAGGATCCCTGGATTTTCCATTGTCTGCATGATCTGAGGAGTCATCACCTGGCCCTCCAGACCTGCCTTGCAAACCAACACACCAAGAGTCACC